CCTGCTGACTCTCCTCCTGCCTTTTTCCCTCTGGCTGCTATTTGCTGCAGACTGGAACCAGAGAGCAGGTATGTCTGGGGTCCCTTTTTGTAAACCTGGGGGATGTGTCTTTGCCCCTTTAGTGGAAGGGTTGCTCTGCACAGAGGGTGGAAGAGAGCTGTAGTCCAGCCTTCTGTGGGAATGCTCAAAGGCTTCCACATGACACAAGAGTCATCAGCTTGGAAGAGAGACCACTGTATATGGTGGAGGTCTCTGAAACCATTTCTGAGACAGGGCAAAGGAGGAGTGATTGCTCAGGGCTTCTTACGTAGAAAAAGTAGGGGCAGACCCTGGCAGCAGCTTTGAAAGGTGAAAACTTAATTTTATTTCAGTTGTGCAACTTAAAGCTTCAGAACAGTGTTGATGCCAAGTGGGTTCCAGAAGAGCTAGACCTGAATGGTCGTTTGCTGTAAAAAATGGGCAGCCGAGACAGAAGGGCACTTGGCAATATTGGAAGCTGAATGCAGAGGGATCATGTCCCTGCTCACACCTCTGTGCATGGGACAGTGGACTGGAGGGACAACTGGCTTAGCTATTCTGCTTCCTTTTTCCCACTCACGTTTCCTCACTACTGCTTCTAGGCCCCCTTTTTCCAAGCTGGAAGATTCCTTTGAAGCTCTCTCTCTCTACCTGGGAGAACTTGCCATCCCCCTTCCATCTGAGCTGGAGGAGCTAGACCACAACGTGAGTGTGCAGTATGGACTGAACCGTGACAAGCTACCTGAAAACACAACCTAGTCAGCCCATCGTGCTGCCTGCACCAGTCCCATTGGAGCCGAGATGAGTGACAGGGAGGGAGATGCACTTCAGCCACTTCCAGGGCATTAATGGGGCACCATGCTGTGCATTTGCTGCATTGCCTCTCTCTCCCCACCCAGCACCCCTCCTCTTGGACATCCTGATCCACTGTGGATTTCTGGCGTGTTTCAGAAGCAAAAAGGGCTGTTTCTTGCCAACTGCACCTAGGAAAGCTGCTCAACACTATTTTTTTTTTAGCTAGAGAAATGTTTCTCTGGCCTTTTCAGGCTTCTTTACTGTGGTGCCTTAGAACTTGGCTGCAAGCTGTGAAGCCACCCTGGCCTGTCTGCCAGGGAGGGAATTGCTATAGGAGACTCTCCTGGGCAAGGACCAGCACTTCTGGAACTACTTCTCCCACCGACTACCCTGCTCAGAAAGCTGGGGAATTTGGACATCTGGCAGAAAGCCCCACCAGGACAGCGTGTGTGTGTATGTTTGTGCATGTGTTTTTCAGAACAACCCACTGAGATTTTGGCCTCCAATGTGCATCAGAGGAGGGAGTGAAAAGCCCCAGGAATTGGGCAGCTCTCCTGAAATACCCTGTCTGTGGGGAAGAGTGTATAAATTTCTGTTTTGTTTTGGTTTTGTGGGGTTTTTTTCCTCCTCTGTCTCTGAATACCTCCAAAAGTCTGCCTAGAAACACTAAGACTGAGCTCTGCTTGTCCCTCCTGATGGTAAACAAAGCAGGCAGCAAATAAGCCACTTAAGCATCTTCAGACGCTGAGCCTGCAGTGAGTTTGCCTGCCCAAAAACCTTAACCTAGTTGAAAGTATTTGAACCTGAATGTGTAGAACTGCACTAGGCACTGGCTGTGGACACCCCTAGAGTGCTGAAGTTGCTTAAGCTCTTGGCCTGTGGATGTAAGGTTATAAAAAAGGGTGGCAGAAGGTGCTCTGAAGAAAGCCAAAGGACTTTGTGCATGGACAATGGCAAAGGGCAATATACCCCTGGTTACCTAAAGGCTGGACTTGGTCATGAACAGAAAAGTGCTAGGGAATGCCCCATCCTCCCAGGAGTGGCAGCTGGAGAAGTACTAATTCAGTTGCCATTACCTCATCCTTTCTTGCAGGCTGTGCAAGTTGCTTCCTTGAAGGTCCTTCTTGCAGCTGCTGCTGCAGCACCTGAGCTGATTCTCCAAGCAGAAACTTTCCTCAGGGTCATTCCCTGCTTTTGGGGAGAAAAAAGGGCTTGGAGTCATTGGGAGGTGGTTGGGGGTGTATTTTCTTCCAGTACTTCTCTTCCTCCCTCAGCAGTAGAAGGAAGAAAGCTACTGCTGCAGTAGTTCATGTGGTTGGCAGAACTGAAAAAGCTGGCTCAAACATCTTGGTTTAACTGGATTTTTAGTGTGCTTCTCCCTCTCTTCCCCCCTTCAGTATTGAATGGTGGGGAATGGGTGTTAGTCTTTGCTGTTACTTTGATTTCCTCCCCTGCCCATGAGTTTCAAGTATTATGTAAAATAACACGGGACCAGCCATCACCTGAGAAAGGTGTGTGTGGGGTGGTTTTAGTCTGTGTAGTGGTGTTTTAGAAACACTGGGGACTCCCTGTGACTCAGTGGAGGCGCCTCTCTAAACTGGGTCCAGTGGATTCAGGATTGTTAATAGGATTTGCCCTTTCTTTTCCTCTCCCAGGCTGGTTTGTGAGGGGACCCTTGAAAGGGAAAGTCCTGGGTGGTGTGTGGGGTTTATGAACTGTGATTTGCACAGCTCCATGTTCTAACTAAATTAAAAAGCAGTAAATACATGCTATGGAAACAAGATTTTGTCGTTTCTGTGTTACAGAAAGCAGGAAGCTGTCACTTTCTCGGGTTTCTGTTGCCACAAAACAGCAACATCTGCAACTCCCTTTCTTGAGCCAGAGGGCTCTCCCACAGTTAAAAGAACTACAGAGACACAGTGCAAGTACTCTTATAGTCCTACTTACCTGAAGTGATGGAAAGGGAAAACTTGTCAAGTTGTGTTGGTTGGTTTTGTTTGGTTGTTGTTTTTTCTAAAGGGTGGACAGGAGTCAGCACAACATGGGGTCTTTCTCCATTTTCCTTTTCTGAACCAGGATAAAAATAAAGCCTGTTCTTGGAAACCTTGTATTCTGAAATACGTAGTTCAAGGGGCATTTAAGGTTAACAACTGAATGAAAATACTAGCTCTGTCAGTGCCTCCTGTAACCTGGTGTGCTCTGTCTCCATGACATTTTCCCAAGCAGTCCCAAGGGAGGAAGCTGCTGCTGAGCAGCACTGACCTGTGTCAGTGCAGGAAGGGGCTGTGACCGAGAGTCTCTTCCCATGGGCCAGCCTGCTTGGGCAGCACAGCCCACAGCTGCTTAGGAACACTGTCCCAGTCCAAGACTACCTGCTGGCTGCAAGGAGAGAAGCTCTGTGCCCCTTGTTTGTGCTGGTGACTGGAGGCGCTGCTTGTAGGGATTTACCTTTGGGCCTGGCAAACTGAAGCATCTTCCCTTCTCAATTTGAAGTCTGCCACAAGCAAAAAGATGCTGCTCTGGCAAAAAGGATGCTGCTCTGGCAGGAGGAACATAAAGATGAGCCATGGTCCACACAGGTGTACAGAGCATTTGTCTTTTAAGCTTTAATACAAGGTAGCACAATTTGCACCTTCTCATAATGAGGTATTTAAAACATTTTACAAAGAAATGGTATTCAAAGGCATTTAAAAATAAAACGTTTCCCTTTTCTGAATCAAACGTTAACACTAAAACCCCTGCTGCCAAGTGCTGCTCCCTGTTAGGCCCACAGCTATAAAGCAGATGGCTAAAAAACGTCTTTGAATGGCTTGAACCCCCAGAGGTGGGGATGGATGTTTCCCTGAACTAGCCTTGCCTCGGTGCCATTTGGGAGACACTGCAGCAACCATCCCTTCCAGACTCCCTGAAATGCTAATAAAAGTTGTTACAAAACCTCTCTAATAGGGCCAGGCTGTGTAAGCAAGCAGTCTTGCTGCACAAGCTGAGTGTGTGTGAAGGAGGTTCAGCCAAGAGCCATGCTGGAACTCTGGGACCTTTGACGAGCAGCTGCCCTGTCCTGCCCTTAGCTCTGAGCTGCTGCATCATGGCCAGAGTGACCTCCAGAGCTGGCTTGGCTACTCTGTCCAGAGATGGCTCTGTAGAAAGCCATGGGAATTCTGAAGAGGATGTTACCTGTCCTCAGAGCTCAACCTGCTGTAGGTAACTGAAGGGCAGTTTGTTTCCTTCACTCCACAACTGTCTACTGCTGGCCTTTGGTCTCCTGATCTGTGTAAGTGAGCAGGAGGCACAGATCACCTGGACACCTACAACTGTGGCTGTGCATGTAGCACCACAGGGGAATGGAGATGTGGCCTCAGTCCTGGAAGACCTGGATTTGTCAAGAGCTTAAAAGCTTTTCCAAATTTACATTGGGGTTAACATACTGCTCCTGACTAAAGCCATACCTCAGTAAACTCTTCCTTGGAAATAAACTTATCCAGTAGCAGGATTCTGGACAGTGTATCCAGCTCTCAGCCACTAATGCAGAAAGACAGGAACTATAATCAGAGTGTAATTATCTAGCTAAGTCTGACATGAAGCTCCCCTCAGTCCCTGCAGTACTGCTCCCTCCTGGGGCTCCAGGCTGAAAATTAAGTAACAGTGCACACCATTAAATAGGAAAGGAACAAAAAAAGAGGAAGCCAAGACCACACTCCAGACTATGGGATTTGTGTCCAGTTGTGAGCCTGGCCCATCATCCCTCCCAGCTCCTTGGCACACCATGGAGACAGGTGGGATAAAGCAGCAGGATCCACCACACCAGTCCCCCGCTGGTCACGCACTGAACAGTGCCCCTCAAACAGATTATGATGAATAGCCCATTGCTCTGTCTCTCTGCATCACCTTCACCTGGCTTTCATCAAAAAGAAAACAAAATAGAAATGAACACACACAACCCTTGCACTCACAGTGGGAAGCTGGAGGCTTTGCTCAGCCTGTATCACTCCTGCCTGAGCTGCTCAGGCACCAGGAGTACCGGCCTGCCCCATGAGGGGGCCACTGCCATCACGTGTGTCCTCCACTGGCGTCTGGTTGGTGTGCACCACGATTGTATTCTCATCTACAAGCTCACAGGCAGGATTGCTGAAGGCTGAGAGTGGCAGTGTGATGCGCTGCATTTCACGCTCATAAACTTTCTGTTCATGCTTCTCCTTCAGGTCTTTCCCCCTAGATGAAAAAAAAAAGAAACACAACACATACATGTGCATGAGCTGAGTGCCACTGCTTGGAGGCAGAGTCTCAGTGAAGGCAATATAGTAGAAAAGAGGGATTCTGATCTTTAAGAAACAAGTATTTCAGCTACACACAAAAGGCCAGAAACACTCCCTACTGTAAAGAGAGGAGCCCATGTGAGCATCTTTATAAACAAGCAGCCAAGTGAAGTGTGTCCCTCCCTCATAAACTGGCTTATTCACTGGCATTGCTACAGCTAAATAAGGGCTATAAAGCCAGGCTTCTTCAAACCATGAGTTGATGAATGTTTCTTTATACCTTATAGTCCCACAGCACTGTCTGGTGCAGCCCACTGCTTTGGAAAGGAGCTTCCAGAAGCTACTTCATCTGATAGAAACAAATACCAGAGATGGTGAAAGATTCTGCCTTGTGTTGAAGAAAACAAACCTGTGCAGCAAATTAAGCCATGCCTGAAAGTATTAAAGCTTACTTCAGAGCTGGCCCAGCCTTCTGCCATGGCAGCTCACAGCTTCACACCACAACCAGCTCCTCAAACCTACCTCACTCTTCAGCCTGTTACCAAGGGAGGCAACACCTCTGTAATTTGTACTAAGGAAGAACTGCCTGGCTTTAAAAATTGATGACATTAATAGCATGTTGTCTCCAGAAAAGCTGTGTATACCAAAAGCTCCTAAAGCCATTAAAGGTTTCTCACCACACCTACCCAAACGTGCCAGCTTGCACATGCGGTTTTGTCAGCAAGGCAAGGAGAGAGAGACAGTAAATCTGCACTGCAGCCCTGCTGTGAGTCTCTGGCATGGAAGAAGCAAAGCTGCATTTGGACAAAGCTCAACATTGATCTATTGCTCCAAATACAGGAGAGAGGTGGGACAGGCATCGCTCACTGCTCCTCAGGCTTGTGATCCTGACCAGGCAGAGCTGCTGGGGTTTCCTGTCAGCTCCTAAGCATTTTGGCTGCTTTTCAAAGCTGCCTACAAGCGTGCAGCAGTGGCTGCTGTTGCTGCCAGCACACGAGGCAGCATTCTCTGAAGTGACACCTCGAATCAGATTCCTCGACAAGCAGCACTCTGTGTTTTGCCCCTTATGTAACACTCCTCCCTTTTTTTTTTTTTTTTTTTTTTTTTTTTTACATCTTTTTAAAAAAAATCTAAAAATAT